GTTTTTTTATCCACTCATCTGCTGACCAGCACTTAGGCTATTTCCAAATCTTAGCTTTTATCAATTGACACTGACATAATTTTTTTGGTAAACTGTTTCTGTGACTTCAGAACCCTTTTGACCCCATCACCTAAACTCCAATTTCCGGTCCAGTGTTGGGGCAGGAACTGAAGACATGGCCTCACATTTACCATAACCACATGTTCTTTCAAGGACCTTCTGGCCATAGAAGTTGTGCGTGGGGGGGGGGGGGGGGAGGGGAAATAAAGAAGTTGTGCATGGATTCTATAGGAAACTATCATGAGCCATTGCACCAGGGCGAGTTCACTGGGAGTCACTACGTCGAATGTGCTCAGAGCTCAAGTGTATTCAGAACACAAACCATCCCCATTTGGATGGTTCTCCTCAAATAGTCTCTATGACACAAGCCTTGCTGTTTACTTGCTAGTTTATCGCAAGGGTAGGTAGATGATGAATGCTGAAAAAACTTGCAAGGAATGAGAAGTGCCAGGCACACTCAAGGTCAGGGCACTGGCCGCCAGACAGCTCTCTGCCGGGGTACCTGCTGCACCAGAGGCCTGAGCTCTGCTCATTCTCGGATCCCTTCCAGAGCCGGGCACTCCATGACTGGTATTTGGAGTGATAGCGTCCCTACCTCCAATCCTCTCTGATTTGCTGCTGTAGCTTCTGGGCTCAGAGCGACTGCATCTTCCGAACAGACATCAGGTGCAGTGTCAGCGGCAGACACCTGCGCAGCTGGCTCAGTCTCTCAGCATGGAAAGAAGACTCCTGAAGAAGGAGATGAAGAGGCTCCTGTAAGTAAGATTGAGGAAAGCTTTCATTTACCACACTCGGCGTTGGGTGGGCTTCATGCCATGGATGGTCTCATACGGGCAGGAGGAAGATTTCATTCCTGCGCTATCGAAAAAAAGCCAGGCAATCTGGCCTCTGCCTCACACAGAGGCCTCACACGTGGTGCAAACCCCGATGCTGAATCCCTTGGGCGGTTGCTGCTGCCAGCAGCATGCTCAGCCCAGGCATCCCTGTCCCGGAGCCTAAGATCTGGGGCCACAGGCCTGACTGTGCTGGGCGGGGTGTGCCCCTGGGAGGGGTCAGCTGGGGAAGACAGAGGGGAGGTTTCTGAAAAACATGCCCGAGGGCCCAGCATGGAAACTGCAGCCTCTGCCTCTCTTCAGGGTCAGTCCCATCAACTCAATAATTCATCTCCTGGTTCTTGCCGCGGGAACTTTTGTTTGTAAACAAACAAAAGAAAATACTAAGTCTCCCCGAGAAGAAATATTTCTCTCCTGTGCTAGCTTTTCTTTGACGTGGTATTTTGTTAAGTGAAAATAACAGACGTTATAAAAAGGCTGGGGGTGGAGGGAGGGGGGAGGGGGAAGGGGAGGCAGCTATGTCCTATGTCATCTGTGTTATAGGCACAATAATAATGCCCTTTTTGTCAAAGACTTTGTCACAATCCCATCCAAGATGTTCTCTCAGCTGCTCAGATCATGACCTCGGAAGAAGTCCTTAAGGAACTCTGCAGTAAACTATGTGTGAATTCACAGATGTTTACTAATAAAGAACCAACCATAATCTGGGATGCCAATTCCTCCACCTACAACTGGAATTTCAAAAGGGGTGTAAACGTAAAGTTCTAGCCAAAGAATACATCTAGGACACTCTAAATAAAGTACCTTGGAATTATGAAGAAAGAAAAATGGAGGATTTTTATCAATCTAAGTATAGTAAGTCAGAAGAGTTTGAGAAGGCAAAAACAGACTTAGCCCTCGCAAGGTTACTTGCCCAAAGTGTGTGCCACAGACCTTGGGGACCAGAAGTGTGGCCTCCTGGGAAGACCAGGGCTGTGTGGAGATGGTCCCCAGGGCTCCTTATCCTGCATCCAGTCCTCTTCCCGATTTTTCAGAACAGCAGCCCCTCTATGCTCCTCCCAGGACCTTATTCCGTCCTCTGGAAGGATCTGGACTTACTAATACATCTTTATGTCTAACTCCCCCTAAGGGTATTTGCATTCCAATGAGGAAAAGCAAAAGAACACATCTGAACCGAAATGTATAAACCTCTTTGACATTTTGCCCGAACTTAACATGGTTAGCAAGGGGATCTTTATTATCAACAGTGGGTCTCAATCCTTTCATTTTTGTGAACCTTTCCTGCATTTGTAAATGAGTGCATTACTCATTTAATTACATCCTAAAAATAAGAGAGTATAAAACTAATTCCAAAATTCTGATAACGATGTGCAGTTTCTCTAGTTCAAAGCAATTGGTGGCCATTCATTCTACTCCCTGCTTTCCTATAAATTCTGTGCCCGCTATGTACATTTAGTTTTTATTTTTATTTTTTTAAATATATTTTATTGATTTTTTACAGAGAGGAAGGGAGAAAGCTAGAGAGCTAGAAACGTCGATGAGAGAGTAACATTGACCAGCTGCCTCTTGCACACCCCCTACCGGGGATATGCCCGCAACCAAGGTACATGCCCTTGACCGGAATCGAACCCGAGACCCTTCAGTCCTCAGACTGACGCTCTACCACTGAGCAAAACCAGTTTCGGCTACATTTAGTTTTTAAATAATTGTGGTTTAATTTCATTATGGCGAGGCATTTTAAGCCTACAGCATTGCAGAATTGCCTTTTCAATCAAAAGAGTGTTACGTGGGTAATAAAGCAGCCAAATAATTCTCCAGATAAAAAGGAGGAAGTTGAGCCATAAGCGACTGCCCTTGTGTTTGGCGGGAGGGAGGGGCTGGGCAGAAACCCCCAACTGCAGACAGAGCTCCCGTGTCACTCCCAGTGGTTCAATCCTGCTCTCTTGCTTTTAAGGGGAGATTATATTGGCATCAGACTTCGAGAAAAGGAATTTGACCCAAAAGGAAGAAGGCAACTCACCTTTCTAGATGATATGGTAAAGAAAGGCATGCGGGTGGAAGTCTCATCTGTGTTACATGTTAGTGAAGGGGACATAAGTACATAATGCATAACAAGGCTGACCCTGCTCCTCTAGAATGACCTCTTTCTCATCTCATCCTAGCACTCTCCACAGGGTCTTCTCAACTCATTAAAATGGAAGCAAAAAGAATGAGAAAGTAAAAGTCATGTGACTTTTGCTATTTGCATTAGAAAAGATTAAAAAGCAAAATGGGTGCCAGGGCAAATATTACATATGATGTTAACATTTTTTGGACAAAATTAGCTATCATGTAGTTCTCAAATATAATACTGGGTGGTTTTTAAAAATATATAATTTATTGATTTTAGAGTGGGAGAGAGAGAGATAGAAGCAACAATGATGAAAGAGAATCATTGATCGGCTGCCTCTTGAAAACTTCACGTGGGATGAAGCCCACAACCTGGGCATGTGCCCTTGACCTTAATCAAACTCAGGACCCTTCATCCTGCAGGCTGAGCCTCTATTGAGCCAAACCAGCTAGGGCAATACTGTGTGTATGTGTGTGTGTGTGTGTGTGTGTGTTTTGTTGTTTGTTTATTTGTTTTGTTTTTTACCATGTGCATTAATGGAGAAAGCCAAAGAATGGAATAATCCTAAAATCCTTCCTATTATTACTCATGTTGAACCTTGGGTTCATGTTATATAAGTTTACTTCCCATATGTTAAGAAAGAAACTATGTAAAGACCTATTTCAAAAGAAACTAAACCCTCAGCTTTTTTATCCTCCATTTCCTGTCCTGGCACTAGCAGGGAAGAAGGACCCCGCCCCCCTTCCCTTCTCTCTGTCTGACTTCCCCTGGGCTGAAGGAGCAGTCAGGCCTTGGTTTTCTTACTAGTAAGTGCTTCTCAGTGCGCGTATTAGACGGAGAAATTAAGTCAATTAGATAATTGCTTCTCAAACTTTAATGAGGTCTTATTACAAGGCCCTGGTGGTTCAGGAAGGCTGGGAATTTGCATTTCTAATAAATGATGCCAGTGTTACCAGTCCACACATCTGTGTTTGGATTAAGTTCCAACAACTGATCACGGTCCATTTCCAAGTCACATCGTGTTCACATTTGTTCCTTTCTTTTCTTCTTCTTCTTTTAATTCACTCTCAGCTGGTTCAGGCCCTAGAAGAAATAGAAATAATCAAATTGTTTTAGAAACTATGGGAGTGAGATAGAACCTTAGAACCCATCTGAAAGTGCCCAAGTCAAACTGGCCTTCGCTGGAATTGCTCCTAGGCTTTCTGTAGGAGTCTCCTGGCAGGTCACTCAATCAGGACTCCCTCAGCCCTTCCCTCATGCTCACCCCTGCACCTGGAGGTCCTTCCCCCCACCACGGCCCAGTTCCACCACAGCCTCCTCCATGAAGCCTCCCAGGATTTCCCAGTGGGCACATCGGTCTCCCTGTGTCTCCGGAGCACATTTCTGTCATTCTACTTACAGAATTAGGAACTGTTCTCTGGGCCCCTCTTCCTCCACTGCACCTTTATTTCAAAATGTTAGGGGTGAGGGCTCGGGGTGGTGAGATTGAGGCAAAAAAGGGGAAAAAAGAGAAAGAACTCATGGATGGGGACAAGAATATGGTGATTGTGAGGGGAGGAAGTGAGTGGGGGGTGGAAGAAGGTATGGGGGGGATAAATGGTGATGAAAATATTAAAATAAAAAGGATATAAAACACACAAACCAACAAAACTTAAACCTGAAGCCCACAGAACAGCAATTGCTCACCTAAGGATACTCTACCAATCACTGGCCATACCAAGATGGGAGTCCAGATTCCCTCTTTTCTTTTTTGATCCACAGAAGCCAAAGCAAAACAAAACAAAACAAAAAGACAATAAAATAAAATAAACAAAACCCCTGCTCTAGCGGGAGGTGAAGGCAGTGCCTGAAGCTCTATGATTTCCATCCAAGCCTCAGGTTACTGGGCAGAGCTGACAAATAGCGACAGGTTCAGCAGAGCCATTGTCATTGGGCGGGGAGGGCTGGGCCGATGTCTAAGCCGGTTCTTCTGCTCTCTCTCTGCTTCCTGCTTCCAGGCACACTACGACCTGGCCATCGGTGTTGCTTTGCAGTGGCTGGATCGCTCAGAAGACTTAGCTTGGCTGGAGTGGGAGAAAGTGTGAGTCGGAATAGTGATTGGTTTTTTTTTTGTTTTTTTTTTTTGTTTTTTTTTTTTAATGTGTGACTATGAGAAACGAAAGAGGAAGTTCTAACTGGTGTCTTCCACCGTGAGCTCTGATGTGCACACCTGCAGGGGAGTGTTCCTCTGCAGCCAGAAATCTGAAGAAACCCCACAGCTGTCAACGTGGGGAAGTCACATCATGTTCACATTTGTTACATCTCTGCTAATCGGTTTCCTTTTTAATTTTTTTTTTTTATTGATTTCAGAGAGTAAGGTAGAGGGAGAGAGAGATAGAAACACCAATGATGAAAGAGAATCATTGATCGGCTGCCTCTTGAACGCCCACATGGGATGGAGCCCGCAACCCCGGCCTGTGCCCTTGACCTTAATCAAACTCAGGACCTTTTAGTCCACAGGCTGACGCTCTATCCACTGAGCCAAACCGGCTGGGGCCTAATGGGTTTCTATCCCATGAAAATCCTTCTTACATAGAACGTACTCCCTTAGAACAAGATGGTGCTGTATTGCACACAGGCCGTGAGTATTCAGAGGGCCAAGTCTGTGGGCAAAGGCTGCCCTCTTTTCACAAGGACGTTTGGCCAGATAGGTACCTGAGCTGAGCTGTTTGAATCGCAGAATAATTTTCTTTCCAAGATTATCGGCATTTTCTCCCCGGGTGCCAGGCAGACACACGCAATTGGCAAGAACGTGAAACTAATGTGACCCGAATTGAACAGCTTATTCCAGAGGCGTTATTTTTCTCCGTTCCATGGTCTTAGAACACACACCTGGACGGCTGTATCAGTTAGCGTGCAGTTATAATAAGCAGAAAATCCAGTTTGAGCAGAGAGAGAGGGGGAGGGTGGAGAAGGAGGGGGAGGAGATTTATTGCTTCTGTATTTGAAAATCCAGGAGTAGCTCTGTCTGTGGCAGGACTTAATTCAAACTCAAATCATGTCATCAAGACTTACCTCTTGACTATTTCCTCTGGCTAGACACCGTTCTTAGTTTCAGCCTACTTTATTGCAATATTCAGTCCAGGGGAAAATGGATTTCTAAAACTCACAGAATTGTGTCTCAATAGCTCTGTTCACCCTGACTTGTCTGGGGATGGCGTGGGGGATGGAAGACCGTGACTAGCTTAATCCACAGTGTGTTTTCCAACCTTTGGAGCCCGGGGGTATTTCCACCTCCACTTGAAGCAATGAGGCTTACTGTGGAGAAGGCAGTTTCTCCAGGTAAATTGCCACAAGAAGAGAAAGCGTCCTGATTGGCAAATCCATAATTGTCCACCACAGTGACCAGTCAGCCATGTTTGATAGGTGAGGGCAAATTCATCACCACTGCTGAAAGATTCAAAATTCCGAGATGGTGGGTTCATTCTATCAGTTTTGTGAGCAAGTGCATAGCACATAGCACGTGGCCAATGGAGATTACTTGTGGATTATTATCACAACCTTAGTCGGTGTCAAAAACAATAAGAATAAGCCCTCCAGCCGAAACCGGTTTGGTTCAGTGGATGGAGCGTTGGCCTGCATGTACCTTGGTTTCAGGCACATCCCAGTGGGGGGTGTGCAAGAGGCAGCTGATTGATGGTTCTCTCTCATTGATGTTTCTGACTCTCTTCCTCTCTGTAAAAAATCAATAAAATATATATTTAAAAGAAAGAATAAACCCTCCATTCTTATTTATTCATGTTCCTCCTTAGGAAAAGGCCCTTTGGTGGCCGACCGATATACCCAAACCATAAAGAAAGAGAAGCAATGATCTTATCATCTTATGCTGGCATCTTAATGGTAAGGAAAAGAACACTATTTGTATACATGAAGATGCTATATTTTCTATGCACATTTTGATATGAATGCATATTTACTTTCTCTTTAACCAATGCTTATAAATGTGTAAGATGTACTGATATTAAATGTTTCATTTTTTAAAGCTATAATAAAAAGATTTTTGACTCCTATGTTGTATTGGGAAAACATTTATTTAAGGGGCAAAAGACCCCAGAGTGAAAGGCATAACAAATTGAACTCGGCATATTCTGATTTGTCAACTTATTCAGAAGTTGTTGGCTGAGTGCCCGTGCCACACAGGCCCAGTGCTGGGCATCCTGGAGCTGTAACAGCTTTGCTTTGTGCCCGAACAAAAGCCATGATATGATAACACATTGTTGTTGTTGTTTCACAGAACAGCATCCCCATCGAGGAAGTCTTTAAAATTTACGGGGCGGATTCTTCTGCCAATTCTGGTGCTACCAAGGTAGGGGTGGCCTGCGTCTATCTATTCGGGGGATTTTTTTTTAGAGGAAATTTACATGACACATTTATAACGTCAGCATCAAACAACAGTTTTATATCAAGATGTACAGAACCAGATGTAGCCATATCTTACTCGGGGACGTTTATAAAATGCTTTCCTGACATGGAGGCCCAGAGGTAGACCCTCAACCACTGAGCCGTACTGGCTGGGCACCGCTGTGCCTATTTCAAACCGTGAGATGTCACAGAGGGCATATGATGTGATCTGAGCTGCAAACATAAGATTCTGAGGATCCCCTGCCCTCTGGGACCCCCAACCTCCTCCCTGCTCAGGCCTTTCTCTTGTGGGCAGGCCAGCTGCCGGGAGGACCCCTTTGCATCTTAAATAAGGAACTAGCAGAACCTCCTGACAGGCATAGAACACTTCAAATTGAGTAAATTGTAGGAGCTATTTTAAAACGGTCCTTGGGGCTTCATAATTTCAAAAACTTTAACTAGGAGATGGGTTGCTATAAAAAAAAAATGTTGTTGCCAAAAGTTCCTCTCTAATTGCTGCACATATCTGAATGATCTTCGATTCCTTCAGATAAAATATCTCCTAAGCAACAGCTAATACCCTTCCCAAGCAAGAGCTTTTAAAGCCTTGCTGAATACTAATCAGATTATTTCCAGCCACCAGCACTGCCCACGTGACACCATGTGAGTCCTGTTCCCCGGGCCGGAGGGCTTTCTCCAGGGCTCTTTGCTGCCACCTGGTGACGCAGAGGCAGCACGGGCCCGCCAATTTTAATAGCGTCAGGTTTCTCTCCTGACAGGGAGCTGTTTTTGCTGACAGGGAACCATGTTTCTGCTCAGGACCTTGGATCCATAGAAGAAGGCAACCGGGGCCAAGGAAGTGAGGGCTACACAGGTAGCTTCGGACAAATATAAACTGTCCCGCTCAAGTTTAAACTGGAGGAAAAAGAGCACAGGTCTTCCTTCAACAAAGGAAGCAAGCAATACAAATATTCTTCAACTTTATTTGATGGAGAAAGGGGGAAAAAAAGAAAAGAGAGACCTTTACACACATCTGCCTTCTTTTACTCTGCCTCCCCCTTCCTATTGGAAGAAAAATTTTGTTGAATGTGCTTTGGATATAATTTGGCACTTGAATCGAGAAATAAAAAATCTTAATAATACTGTTACTATGCCACAATGAAGCTATGAATAAGTAGCATTAAAGTAAAAAAAAAAGATATGATTAACTCTAGATTTAGGATTTGAATTTCATTCCACATTTAAAAGCTACATTAACTGCTTGCATGAGCCATCAGATTACGGGGACCCAGAGAACATCTGAGCGGGAAGTGACCTTTAAAATCATCAGGTTCGACCTGCCCCAGTCAATAGGGCAACGGGAGCTTGAAAAGCCTCCATCTTGTGTCTTCTAAGTGCATCAAGAATGACATATGGCTTGCCCTAGCCAGTTTTGTTCAGTGGATAGAGCATCAGCCTGCAGACTAAAGGGTCCAGGTTTGATTCCCATCAAGGGCACATGCCCGGGTTGTGGGCTGGATCCCCAGTAGGGGGCGTGCAGGAGGCAGCCAGTCAAAGATTCTCTCTCATCATTTATGTTTCTCTCTCTCTCTCCCTCTCCCTCTCCTTTCTTCTCTGAAACCAATAAAAAATATTATTTTAAAAGAGTGATGTATGGATAGACTTGTCAAGGGAATCACTTCATAAGTTAGATAAGTGTCTAATCACTAAAAACAAGCAAACATGAGCCAATTCTCTCTCTCTCTCTCTCTCTCTCTCTCTCTCTCTCTCTCTCTCTCTCTCTCTCTCTCTCGTGTCTGGCATACATTAACCTGAAGGGCTATTGCTATTATAGTTGCAATTGCCCCATACTTACATAAAGCCTCCTTTCAATTACTTTCAGTGTTTTAGGGTCACCTTTCTGAATAGATGATGTGCTTCTGAGGTTAGAGGCCGTGGTTTATGTTTCATTCTTTACAATGCTGGATATACAGTGAACTCTCAATCAACATTTTTGCCATTTGAATAGAAGACTGAGGTCAAAAATAAAAGTGCCCCTTAACTGTTCCTTGTTTAGTACTGGTTTCCTGTGGGAAACCAAAAGCCCATAATAATAGTGAAAAACAGAAGTTTACTTCGCAGATGAAAGGGGTCTGGAGGTGGGCAGACCAGGGCTGGTACCACAGTTCCATCCAATTGTCAGGAGGCAGGCTTCTTCCAGGCCTCTGCTCAATCATTCCTGCTGAAAAGGAGAAAATAATATAGAAATGTAGTCCCTTTCTTAAAAAAGAATAATAATAAGAATAAGAAGAAGAAGAAGAAGAAGAAGAAGAAGACGACACTCCCCCCCAAAAATACCTCACCTATATATAAACCACATAATTATCTTGGAGTTCAAATTTCTACCTACTTCCAAGATGATACCAATTAGTGGGAACTTGCTCATCAGGAGTGTGGTTATTAAGAGTTTTGGATGACAAGATAGAGCAGAATATTTCCCACTGACCTGGAGATCTAAAACTAGGTATTTGTTTTGTTGTCCTTGTCTTTCTGTTTTTGCCTCGGTTATACATCATGAGATGGCATCTTTGTTGACATGCATAAAAAGAACTGTGTCATCAACGCTTACTCCTTAAATTTACTCCTGTAAACCTACCACCCGAATCAGTGAGAAAGCAGATAGTTATTGATCTTGCAGGGGGTGCTAATCATTTCAGGCCTCCTGGCTCTGATTCGTCAATTGTCAGCAATTTACCCAACCTTTTTCTGTAGATGAGGCAGGATTCCCTAAAAGAATTGGTGGCCACACTGTTGCCATGGGTAGTTCTATACAAAAAAGAGAACCGAGACAGGGAGAGAAATGATGAAGGTGATAAATATAAATATTTATTATTATTAATTTTAATAGTGTACCAAACACTATTCTAAATACTTTAAGTATGCTAACTCTTTCATCCCTACCACAATTCTAAGGCAGGTACTAGTATCATTATTATCACATGAAGAAACGGGCACAGAGAAGTTAAAAGACGAGTCCAAGGTCACATGTCTTATTCATGGCTCAGCCTGCATTGTGATACAGCCAGTTTGACATCATAGTCCATGCTGTCAACCACTTATTGCCTTGACCAGAATTATAGTTCAGCTAGCCAGCAACATTTGAGTGCCTACTATGTGCTAGGCACTCTCTAAGGCACTAGAGATAAAAGGTTAAATTAGTTAATCAGCCTCTCTCCTTCCACACTTGAATCCACTCTCCACAAAGCAGCCAGACTGATCACATTAAATTGATTTCAGAGAGAGGAAGGGAGAGGGAGATAAAAACTCAACGATGAGAGAGAATCATTGATTAGCTGCCCCCTACTGGGGATCAAGCCCACAATCTGGGCATGTGCGCTGACGGAGAATCGAACCATGACCTCTGGTTCATGTGTCAACACTCGATCAGCTGGGCCAGACTGATTTTTTTAAAAACCTGAGCCAGACCTTGTAACACTACCGCTTAAAAACATTTCCATGGCTTCCCTTGCTGTCTCTGTCCCTTCTGTCGGAAGTGGTGGCTGTCCAGTTACTCGCCAGCACATCATCTGTTGAGTTTATTTGTTAAACTTATCATGACGTATGATTACCCTGGTTGCCTACTAGCTTAGTGTCTCTCCTCACCCAGCTCCTAAAGCAGAGCCTGGACCACAGTAGGTGCTCATTGAAAACTTGTTGAATGAATGAATGAATGAATGGACAGTGCTAGCCTTGAATAAGTTCCCAGCGCCACACAGCAGACAGCGGGTTATAATCACAACACACTGGGTGTGTTCTATGCGACAACATGCTTTGAGCTCACAGAGGAGAACCAGTCCTTCTGCCTTGGCATGGAGGAGGGGGCGGAAGGCCAGTAGAGGAGAGTGAAGGTGTGGAGACACTGGGCATGTTTCTCAGAAAAGGTGATGCTGGAGCTACATCTCCCAGGAAAAGGAGGGGCCTTCAGGAAATGAGCCCTTGGGCAGAACGGAAGGAAACAACCCTTCCAGGTAGAGGGAACTCTGGGGAGTAGCAGTGTGTGAAAGGTATTCTAGGCAGGAGGAACCAAGCGTGGGAGTAGAAGACAATGTGTGAAGGTGCGTGAAGTTAGACCTGAGCTGCAGAGGGGGCCCTTAGGCATGTCCAAGGGCGGTGGGTTGGGTGAGCAGGCCGAGAGCCACAAGCAGCAGGTGTTATCAGCACAGCGTGTGCAGCGTTTCAAAGGAGCACTGTTTTCCTTTCAGGTTCTCCGAGCTCCACCTTTCCGCCTCTCCCTGCACCCTTTTGCCATGCTAACGGCACCCAGAGCAGCAGAATATGCCCGCAAACAGAGTAAGCCTGCTTACTTCCACCCGTTAGAGAAATCTAACACAGGAGGGGCTCTCACCCTGTAAGGTCCAAGGTGGAATGGTAAGACCATTTTTCCGGTTGAATGCCAAAAAACTAGGAGCACTTATGGCTTCATGTCCCTCTACTGTCGGGGAGTACTTCTTAGACTCCTTGGTAACGGGAGCAAAGCACTCCTGAAGGGAAAGATCTAGAACTGTGGGTGGACTCGTTTTTGAAAAGGTATTTGTGTTGTTGTTCCTACGTGTGTGTGTCTCTAGGTGTCAAGCTAAGAAGGGGAGCAACGAATAAAAATGCCACCAGCAGCTCTATGAGGAAAACAAATGCCATGGAACAGAGATCATCAAAAAAGTGACACACAGCCAAAGAGCAAAGTAGGTCTAAAAACACAAATCGGGCCAATATGATACCAGATGTTGGGGAGTACTCTACTTATATTGTAGCTAAAAGTCTAGCCTTTAGAATGAGATGCTCTGGGTTGGAATCTACAGCTTACTACTTAGCATCTGTGTGACTTCCGCTAAGTGACTTAGCCTCTCTGTTCTTTAGTTTTCTCTTCTGCAAAATGGGAAGAATGATGGTATCTTCCTCTTAAGCTTTTCAGATGATGATCTGAGATCATACATGTTAAGAGGTTAGAACAGTGCTTGTACAGATTAACCCTAGATAAATATTAACCACTATTATCTTTCAGCTTTTGAGAAATGCTACTCACAAGTTAAACCAGCTGTTATACTGTGGGTTTAAATAAGTGTGTATGTGCTTATAGGAAACATTTCAAACAATACAAAAATTTTAAGTGTAATCCACATCCCTTTCCTACTCCTTAGAAATGACCACTGTTAATATTTCTTGTGATATTCAAATATTGCTACACATTGTATGTCCTACTGCTGATTTTTTTAAAAGAAATAGTCAAGAAGTAAATAAAATAAACAAATATCTTTATTAAAGAAATAATTATTTTATAAATGTATGAGAAATATTCTTTCATGGTTTATTATTTAAAGATGTTTTTCATTTTGTATATTTGAGCTTCTTAGTCTTTTTCTTGATAGCTTATTGATATTATATTATGTATTTTAATGATAAACAATTTCATAACCTCAAGATAAAACAGGATTTTCTATATATTTCCAGCCTCTGACTTCTTTTCAGAAAGTAAGAGAAAAGGAGAAGTTAACTGTTAAAAATCCAGGTATTCTGGAAAACAGTTTTAAATATTTCGTTTAGACTGTATTTGTATTAGTACCTCATTTACTAATAGAAATGGGTATGAGCAACATCGTATCCTGGGAAAGTGTCACTATCGGGCAGAGTTCTAGGAAATGAATTTGGAATGGACAGGATCAGACCAAAGAGCCAGAAAACAGCATACTCTAGTGACTAAGAGTGTGGGTTCCAGTCAGATATCTAGATTTGAAGCCTGGTTCCTCCACTTAAAAACTTGGGTGGGTTATGAAGTGAATCCCTCATGCCTCATCTATAAAAAGTGGATGATAACAGTATCTCGTGGGGTTCTTCCAGGGACTGTTAACAGACATGGGAGGGCTTAGAAAACGCCAGGACTACCACAGGCAGGAACACAGTGCCCCCTTATTTCCACTCCGGAGGAACTCAGCATCGTGGGAGGGAGGAAGGATGGCGAGAGGACAGTCTGAGAAACTGGTTTCCATTTCCACACAGAAAGGGCTTGGATATCGACACTCTAACAAGTAAAAAGCTGAACAGACTAAAAAAAATCAGCAACTCTTCTTGGAAATGAAAAAAAGGGGAAGGCACAGGGTGTACACGCTTCCCCCAAGAGTAAGGTGGACTGATGGATGGGTTGAGGGATAGAGAATTGCCCTGATGGATGTGAAAGCAAACACGGAAAACTGTTTACAGAATTAGCAGGTTATGGGCCTATGTATCTCATGGTACAATTCTTTCAACTTTTCTGTATGAAACATTTCATAATGGAATTTATGAAGAAGAGGCAGAGATTGTCAGAGTGGATCAAAAAACAAGGCCCAATTATATGATGTCTATAAGTAACTTACTTGAAATATAAAGGCACTGATAGAAGAAAAGTAAATGGATAGATAAAAATATGCCAAGCTAACACTAATAAAAAAAAATTAAAAAAAGCAAAAGCAGCTATGTTAATTTCAAACAGAGCTGACTTCAAATCAAAGAACGTTATCAGGGATAAAGAAGGGAAGTGCATGATGATAAAGGTTTATTCTCCGAAAGGCATAACATTCCTTCCGTAGTCACTGAGCAACAGGGCACCGGACTCCGTGAGGTGAAAACCAGAACTGCCGGAGAAGCAGAGGACTTCACTGTCCTTGCTGGAGACGTCAACACCCCTGTCAGGAGTGGAGAAAGAGCAATTTTAGTTTAAATTCAAACCAATATACGGTACAAGAAATTCAAAGCGACCTGCTGTAAGAATAATACACAGCTGCTAAAGGGCAGAGAAATGATTGGCTGTGGGTGTGGTTCATCAAAGGAAGTATTACTTTTACTATTTTATTCTCTTTGGAAATAATTTCGAGCTTAGAGAAAAGTTGGTAGAGTACAACAAAGAACCTGTGTGTACCTTTGGCTCACATTCACCAGTTGTTAATGTTTCGCTCTATTACTGTATCATTTTTCTCTCTTCCTCTGTTCCTGTCTCTTTCTCTTTGTATGTAGATATAGATACCTAATTTCTTTCTGATCTATTTGCAGTTACATCACCATCTCATTTCAACCCCATATATTTTAGTGTGTACATCCTAAGAACAATGTCATTCTCTTGAATAACCATAGTATGGTTATCAACTTCAGAAAAATATAGCATTAACACTTTGATCCAACCTACTGTCTATATACAATTTTGTCAATTGATCCAATGATGTTTTTTTAAAACATTTTTTTTCCCTTCTGTAGAGGATCCAGTGTAGGATCATATGTTGTATTTAGTTGAAAAGTATAACTCAATTTCCAAATGTCTCAGAACAGTTCCATGGACATTCTCTTGTGCCTACATTCATGTTAACCCATCATGGTCAATACTTAGTATCTGATGTTTGATCTTCACTCCCTGTAGATTGGAAGCTAATGTCTGTGTCCATACCCGATACCAGAATCGTCTTTTTATTCTGCAGGTCACTTAGAAAGTTGAACTTGAACTCTGGGACTTCACAATAAAGTCTCAGGGAGAGGAAAAGAAACATCTTCTCAAAACTGCAGCCCTCGCCAGCATATTTTCCTTTACAGTTAGCTTTGATGCAAACTGCACTCAAGTGTTATTTTTGGATGTTGAACATTCTTTTCTTAGAATCATATTATAATGCTTCATTTGGGTCTTCAAAATGTGTGTATTTTATGCTACTTCATTGTGAGTGGAAGACTGTGGTGGGAGAATTCCAAGAATATATAGTATTTCTGTGTCAGAGCAGGCTGGCTTTTAGCACATTTTGCAAATGTGTAGCATTGAATAGTGCAGAATGGTGGAGTAAGAGGCAGCTTTCCAAAGTTTCAATCCAAAATAAAACTAATCTGTCATTTGCCTTTATTATGTTGTCACATGGAAACTTGAAATCCTTTCAATAAAGCATTACAAGAAGACGGGTGTAGGCTTTCTTTGAATAAAATATTATGATTAGGAGGAAAAGAAAATATTTTGGTCTTTCAGTATCTTTCCAAAATGCTGATTAGGCATATGGCTTAGCTTGTAAATATGTGTAGTAACGATTTGACCGAATGAATTTTTTTTAAGGTTTTTGATGTGCTATCTTTTTTCGTTGGAATCCACAATGGCTTCTGGCCTATTTAACAACTTTATAAAAGACGGGCCATATATGTCTTTGAAACTGAAGTGGCAGCTATTCCATAAAGGAGTCCCAAGAACTACTGTATTGAGTTACACCCTCAAAGGACCCTCCTCTGTGTGGGTTCCCAATCCCACTGTCCTGCTCTGCTGCCATGGGGTTAGGTCCTGATGCTAGTTTGTCTTAGTCTCTCTCCTCCAGACTTGGGAGTTCAAATTTTCTCCTTTGTGGGTTTCTCAAAGCAAAAGTGACACCCAGAACCCCCCGTTGCTTAAACAAGGAGAAATGTATTGTTTTTAACACAAATGCTAACGTGTTCCAAGAGACATGGCATAGAAGTTAAACAGAGGTGGGACGATGTTTGCTCTCTGTCTCCTTGTCATGTATTTGAGGGGTCATCAAAGATAAGCTGAGAAAGGGAACAGGCGGTTGTTTCTATGATGGTGGTCTTTGGGTCTTACCCAGGCTCTTTGTTTGGCATAGATTGATCTACATGGCTGCCAATCAAATGATCTCTGCTCATTTAAGCAAGCATGCATGTGATATAAATTCCATATGAATTGCTAGGAAGCAAGAAGGTGGGTGGTAAGGTCAACTGCTGGCAGGATCTGACATTGGCAAAACTCTGGAATTAGCTGCCACTGGTGTAGCATTCATTTGACAACCCAGAAGGATAAAAATTAGAATTAGTGAGGAGCCAAGGGTCCGGGGAACAGCACATCATCCCTGTTTTTGCTCAGTCATCTGCCCTGTTATAAAGGCCCTTTGATAGATCGAAGGCAGGGTGCTTATGTCACCTTACACACTGAAAGTTGCAAATGCTGAACTTCGATGTGAGTGTGCATGCCAGTGTGTGCTGAGCATTTGAAATTGGTCCTGCGGACTACAACAATGAACTCCAGACTAGGGAGTCACATGTATACCCCACAGGCATTTATTGAGTGACTTTAATACACCAGTTCGTTTTGCCAGTTAGTGAGAATGCAAAGCTAAAGATAGAATTATCATTGTCTTTATCCGGCTGTCCCCATTTATTTCAAGGAACAGATACCTAAACAAAATCATTACATAAATATGGTAATTACCATTACAGCAGTAGGTACGAGATGCTTGGGGAATCCAGTAAGCAGTATTAAACTGGATTTATCAGCCTGGAAGAGGGAAGGGTTCAAGACAATCTTTGCAGAGGAACCGATACTTGAGCTGAGCCTTGAGGAAAAGGGTAACATTTCTCTGGGTGAAAAATGTGGAGCTGGTGTCTCAAGGCCAAGGATTAATACATTCAAAAACAAGAGAGGTACAAAAGTAACTGCATTTAGGAAGCTATCAGTGGTTGGGCGTGATCGGACAGAAAGTGTGGGGACAGACGGAGGATGGCAGGTCTGGTGTGCCATGCTAAGGTACCCGTACTTGATTCCGAGAGCAAGGGGAGACAGTGAAGGTTTCAAACAGGTGAGTGGCTGTCTTAATCCTGTGTACTGTAACAAAATACCACAGGCTTAACAGCCAGCATTTACTTCTCTCAGTTCCAGGGGTTGGGACATCCAACATCAGGGTCCAGGCAGAACCAGTGTCTGGTGAGAGCCCACGTCCTGGTTTGCAGGCTTCTTTCTGTATTGTCACCTGGCCAAGAGAGAGGGGAGGCAAGCTCTTTCTTGTCACTTTTTATTTTTTAAATATATTCTTATGATTTCAGAGAGGAAGAGAGAGAGAGAGAAACATCAATGATGAGAATCATTGATTGGCTGCCTCCTGCACGCCCCTCACTGGGGATGGAACCCACAGCGTGGGCATGTGCCTGGACCCGGAATAGAGCCATGACCTCTGGCTTATAGGCCGACGCTCAACCACCGAGCCACACCAGCCGGCCTCTTTCTTTCTTTCTTTCTTTCTTTCTTTCTTTCTTTCTTTCAATTCTTTTTAAATTTTTTTTAATTTTTATTTTTAAAATATATATTTTATTGTTTTTTTTACAGAGAGGAAGGTAGAGGGATAGAGAGTTAGAAACCTCGATGAGAGAGAGACATCCATCAGCTGCCTCCTGCACACCCACCACTGGGGATGTGCCCGCAACCAAGGTACATGCCCTTGACCGGAATCAAACCTGGAACCCTTCAGTCTGAAGGCCGACGCTCTATCCGCAGAGCCGAACCAGTTTCGGCTCTTTCTTTTAATTCTTTATTTCCTTCTTGTTCTTCATACTATGTACCCTGAGGTAAGCACTATGGAATAACTCATGTTTGAGAGCCCATGTGGCTACGAGGTGGACATTCTCATTCCACGAAGCTTTGCTCCCTCCCCCAGCCCTGGGAAGCGATCTATAAAGCAACAGACTTCCTAGTCTCGGACCCAATGGCCCTAAAAGCCTTTCCCTTGATCCTTATCACAAGTTGACTACCAGCCGCCGATTTCTAGTTACATGAAGCACAAAGGTGGGGTCAGTCACTCCGCTCTGACGCATCTGTCAAAACCAGCAAAGACCAGAATCCAGATTCGTGTCGTGAACCAGGCTGGCAAGCCGTGGACAAAAGGAGAATGTAAGTGAGAGGGTCTCTGTCCTCAAGGGAAATTAGTAAGTGCTGGGGCATTCTGCCTCCCCACGGCCCCTCTGGAATTCTGCGGCTCTTCTGGAAAGGTGTAGATTTCCCCCCCAGAAAATTCCTGGGGTGTAACTGCATGACGTGTGCAGACACAAGCATTTCAGGTCACAAGTTCAGGCTGGTGCGCTGGTGAGTTCAGACAACGCTGCGAGTCCGGATAAAAGCCTCTGTAGGGGCCCCATAGGACAGGCCCAGGACAGCGTTAGAACATGCTAGAATGTGCCAGAGGATGAGGGCAAACTGCACAGGCGCTTCCCCTGAATGCAGCCTGGCACAGGGACCCGTGCAATCCCCTCCTCACCCAGGCCCTTTGTGCTGTTCCTGCCAACGCAGCAGCCGCCTGGCCGCCCCTATATAGCCCGCTGGTGCCCGCTGCAGCCACTGACCCGCCGCCGCCATGGGGAAGGTGAGCGGGACGCAGATGAAATCAGGAGATAAAACCCTCTGCACAGGCGCTCCCGGGGCCCTGGTGTCACTCGGGTGGTGCTTCCTTTGCAGATCACCTTCTACGAGGACCGCGGCTTCCAGGGCCGCCGCTACGAGTGCAGCAGCGACCAGCCCGACCTGCAGCCCCACCTGAGCCGCTGCAGCTCCGTGCGCGTGGACAGCGGCTGCTGGATGCTCTATGAGCGCCCCGACTTCCAGGGCGCCCAGCACCTGGTGCGGCGCGGGGACTACCCCGACCCGCAGCAGTGGCTGGGCCCCGGCGCCGGGGTGCGCTCCTGCCGCCTCATCCCCCAGGTGAGTGAGGGCCTCACAGTGTAATTGAGGGGGGGCTGGGGGGTTAGGGCGAAGGAGGTTTCCTTTAAAAGCACCCCAGGATTGCCCTGGCCACATAGCTCAGCTGGCAAGCGCATCATTGCAATAGCCAAGGTTGCAGGTTTGGTCCCTGGTCAGGGCACAAACGGATTTCTCTCTCTCTCTCTCTCTCTCTCTCTCTCTCTCTCTCTCTCTCTCTCCCATAAATAAGTAAAAAATTATTAAAAAAAAAAAATAAAAGCACCCAAGGATTGAATGGGCTTTAGATACTTGCCTAAGCTCAAATAGATACTTGCACAAAAACAGCACAGACTATGGGGAAGAACTCACTTAGGGAAAGAGTCTGTTTTGTTTGTTACCTACCAATAGGTCCATCAAAAGTTGCCTGTAACAAATGCAATGACAGAGTGGGATAGAAAGCCAAGCTTGCAAATGGGAAATTGGTTGGACAGAGAAGGCAGTATTTCTAACAAATCAATTTATACCTATAGGAAGGGCATTGACTAGGAACGAAATAGTAGACTGGGCATGTGCCCCGACTGGGAATCAAATCCACTGTACTAGACTAGTAGAAATGGAAAACTCTATTGTCATTCAAAGGTAACGTTCAACTTTGGGAAAAGTAATGGTTTTTAATTTGGGAAATCAGGTGAATTAGGATTCAAGCAACCAAACCAATTTTCAATGAAGTATGTGATTTTTTTTAAAAATCCTACTTTAGTGGTAAATTTATATGGCTATAAATTTGGGAGAAAACACTCATGCTAAAAGAATGCTTTACATTATCCCCGTAATATTGGTTTAACACTAGGAATCAAGGAATTGGGTAATTGAGAGTTAAGAAAACAAGATATTTGAGCTCTTGATAGATTCTAACCCAACCTTGGATCTCTTAAACATTTCTCCTCCTAGATCTGAAAGAGAGAACAGGCATGCAAATATGTGTTCATGTGAGTAGGACACAAGCCCATACGCAGCATTCACAGCAATCTTAGAGTCTCAGGTTCTACAGGGACAATCCCACCCCCCAGCCCGCCACGTTCATCTGTCGTTTGCTTGCTTCTTCTCTCTGTGGGTGGAGCAGTCGGGCTCCCACCGCCTGCGGCTGTATGAGAGAGAGGACCACAAGGGCCACATGATGGAGCTGAGCGAGGACTGCCCCTGCCTCCAGGACCGCTTCCACCGGAGCGAGGTCCGCTCCCTCCATGTGCTGGAGGGCTGCTGGGTCCTCTACGAGATGCCCAACTACCGGGGCCGGCAGTACCTGCTGTGGCCCCAGGAGTACCGGCACGCCCACGACTGGGGGGCCACGGATGCCAAGGCCGGCTCCCTGAGGAGGGCGGTGGATTTATACTGAAGTCGGTTCATGCCACCATTTTCTCACTTTGGAACCTAATAAAGTACTTCGTCTGTATTGTTGGCAATGGCTGGCTTCTGTCTTTCCTTCGTTGTGTGCCAATGAATTCACCGGTCAATGGTCCCTGATAAAGGAAGCATTTCTAGAGGCCTCTGAGGAGTGAATACAAAGGGGGGGGGGGGTGTTCTAGAAGAGCTTCAGGGTAGAGTAAGTCTTGAACAGGTTCAGAAGTGGGGAGTGGAGAGAGGTAGGTTGCCTGAGAATGGGGGGCAGGTCAACCTAGAGAATTGGGAAGGGTGACTGTGGAGAATGGAGCCTTCAGCCTCTGCTTTGAGGAACAACATTATTTTTTGACACAAGACATGGTTGAGGGTCACAGAGGGTCAGCGACGAGTGGTGAAGAAGAGCCCACATGGCAAAAAGCCTGATGGCACGACATAAGGACTTGTGGTTTGTTCACTCTCAAGCACGGTACTGCGCAACTGATGCCAGGGCTGCCGTTGGCCGTTGCCAAACTTTTGGACTCAGTTGTAGAACCTCCTTCCTGGTCTAAAACAGCTCCTGATCAGGGCACACCTCTTGGCCAGAACAGCAGCTGGGCCAAGTACTGCGTGAAGGGCAAAACCTGCACAACACCAGCTAATACAAATAAATGGATGAGATACACATTACTATGTCTTTTTATTATCTAATCTTACCCGAAGATATTTTCCCTTTGTGGAGCATGCAAGAGGGAGCCGATCAATGAGTCTCTCTCATCATTGATGTTTCTATTTCTCTCTCCCTCTCCCTTCCTCTCTGAAATCAATAAAAACATACCAAATAAGTTAATTAATTGATTAAAGACTCTGCCCAATTACTAGCCACCAGAAATCATAACTTCTTTGAGTTAGAGTCTTCACCATATATTGAGCACCTGCCATGGGCCTGCCAAATGTGGCACTGGGGATGAAATGGAAGGCATTGTCCCTACCACCACAGAGCTCTGTACACAATACTAAACATGAATACTCAATGAGAAGTATATAATCACATGTTAGAATCAAGTCCTGCTTAAGTACCACTTAATACATAGGCAATCACCTTTGTTTAGCAAGTACTTTTACTTTGAACTTTTAAGTCATCCTGTAATAATCTACTAGGGGAAATGAATGGAGCAGTATTTATTTACATATTTCACACAATATATGTTTTTATTCCTTAACATGTTGGTGGGGACAAGTGTTTTCTTGGTAGGACATACACAATTATCCTTATACACCTAACTTTCGGGTGATACTTTTTTTTTTTTTCCTGCTTTGGAAAAACATTTCTAATGAAAATAGTTTCCTGTGAATAGAGATAAAAGCTGTCCTTGTGTTGTGGGGTCAAACCCTGGAGTCAAAATAAGACCACCAGAGGCTGCTAATTGATTAAAAAAAAAAAAAAAGCAGGCAAGGATTTATTGAACTGGCCAGGACGGCCACAAGAGCACCATACACAGGTGAGGTCCACACTCACAACTGCACCATTCCAGGTGTAGGCAGTTCTTTTAAAGGCCTAAACCACAAAAATTCAGGGTCGTTCCCAGCCATATCCTGCTGGACGTTGGAATGTGGACCTATCTTGCGAAAGCAGACAGTACAGAAGCAGAACTGAGCCAAGTTAATCTCTAAAGGTTATCTACAGTTTCAACTCCTGGAGCTACTGAGTCAATGGGAATCAATCTCCTGTGGTACTGGTCCACAGGCACAGGAGACTGCCTTAGCCTCCAGGTCTCCATCTGAGGCATCTACCCTATTGTTTAAGCAAGTAAGCGAGTGCCGAAGCCAGAACAGCAGGGTTAAAATTCAAACCACAGTTTTTTCCTAAGTATGGTTGCTACCATACTTCACTTGCCAGAAGAGACAAAGGTCACACAGGAGCAGCCACTCTGCCTCTGTCCTTTCAGCTGGGGAACTGGAGGCCAGAAGAAAGCTGGTCACCAATTCTCTACGCCTTCCTCCTTTCACTGTCTTCCTTTCTTTCTGCCCCTCCTTCCGCCACCTCCATCTCCTGCCTTTCTGCCCCTTTATTCTTCTGTCTAGCCCACTGGTCTTAGGGGCTAGCAAAATGAATTCTACAATGTCCCTCTCATGCTTTGGGAAACATTTTAACAATGACACAGAACTACAAAAGCTTCTGTGCTAAAAGGGCTTGGGGTTCACGTATAAATCTTCTAAGGAAGAGAAATTCTATAACAATACAAACATTTTGTGAATGACTTATTTCCTCTCCTTCTCTCATGCAAAATTACAATGAGCTTGCAACCCAGCACGAAATGGCCGTTTTCTTGTATAGAATTCCAAGAGAGGAATGTGAGAAACCAGCCTTCAATCACAGTTTTTAAGGTCAGTTTGTGCCTTTACTTCAGTAAAGGGTCCTGAGGATAATAACGATGGCTGATGTTAATGACAGTGAGTGGTGGCAGACAAGGATGAAGAAGCTTCAGTCATACTACCTCAGTTAAAATGGAAATGTCACGTGACAAAGAAGAGTACAGCAGTTGTAAAACTGTTTAATGAAGAATACTATAGCTTTTCCAGTCTTGAGATACAACTGACATACAGCACTGTATGAGTTTTAAATGTAAAGCATAATGACTTGGCTTATGTATTAGAAACATTATCTTGAAAGTGAAAAAAATTAATTTGATCCAAGTAGCTTATACACTAGACAAATTAGGCCCATTGTTTACAATACCCGTGAAAAAAACTGAGATTAAGTTAAATTAAATAACGTGGCCAGGGCCCCACAGTTAGAAGAGGCAAGGATGAGTCTGTAGCTCAGGTTTGTTTAAGGTTCTCAACTGCTATGCTGGCCCTAAGTGGGGAGTTCAAGGGAGGAATAATTTCTGAAATAACCCTAGGATAGGATTTTGAAACATTATAACAAACAGATCCCCCATAAAAATGTTGGCTATATTTTTCATATTCTTTAAATCAAGAGGTTCTCAGTATTTTAGATTTCCCAGACCAACATAAGGATGACCAATTTTAATGATGCCACGGCCATTTAAAATTAAAAACAAAACAACACAAATGTAAAACAAAACAACGCAAATGTAAAACTAAGCACCATCTATTATTTGTATGTCCTTTTATAAAAGGAAAACAACAACAAAAACAAACCCAAACAAACAAACAAACAAACAAAAAACACTTATAAAAGGAGATTTTTAACCCCCAAACACACAAGTTGCTAATAAAGTATGGTTCAGATCAAGAGAGAATGCTTGAGAATTTTCATGTATAGTTTTTTGTTTTCATTTGGTAAAAACTGATAGAAACTGAGTAGAGTCTAAAAATTCTTGTTTGTGGTTGCCTCTCCATACCTTCAGGGGCCAGGGAGCTGATGTAAATAAGTGAAACAGCCTCCAGTAAGACGACAAGGACTGATGGAGGGGTGAAGGCGAAGTGTGGACTAACCTAAAACATCACAAAAACAGCCTGGCTGGCATGGCTCAGTGGTTGAGCATCGACCTATGAACCAGGAGAGCACATGCAGGAGGCAACCGATCAGTGATTTTCTCTTATCATTGGTATTTCTCTCTCTCTCTCTCCCCCTCTGCCTTCCTCTCTGAAATAAATAAAAATATATTTAAAATAAAACAAAACAGCCGGGACCAGTTTGGCTCAGTGGATAGAGCGTCGGCCTGCGGACTGAAAAGTCCCGGGTTCGATTCCGATCAAGGGCATATATCTTGGTTGCGGGCACATCCCCATTTGGGGGTGTGCAGGAGGCAGCTGGTCGATGTTTATCTCTCATCGATGTTTCTAACTCTCTGTCCCTCTCAATTCCTTTCTGTGTAAAATCAATAAAATATATTTAAAAATAAAATAAAATAAAATAAAATAAAATAAAACATCTAAACACTGTGTCAACCAAGTAAAACATATCTCCAGGTCCACAGCCCTGGGAGTTACCATGCCTCTTTTCCACGCTGGTGTGAAAACTGGGAAGAGCCACAAACAATGAGCATCACAGTACATTTTTTAAAATAAATATTTTATTGATTTTTTACAGAGAGGAAGAGAAAGGGATAGAGAGTTAGAAACATCGATGACAGAGAATCATCGATCAGCTGCCTCTTGCACACCTCTTACTGGCGATGTGCCTGAAACTAAGGTACATGCCCTTGACCGGAATCAAACCGGGGACCCTTGAGTCCACAGGCCAAAGCTCTATCCATTGAGTCAAACCGGTTTCGGCCCAAATGTATCTTAAATATTAGTTGTAACTGGCCAGCGGAGGTGGTGGTCCCCACAGACTCTCCTCACTCCCCTCTATAAGCTCTCGGGGAGTCTTCCCATTTGCTTCTCTCTCATATTTGACTGTTTCCATCTGTCAACACTCTCCCCACAGAAACAGTTCTCAGCAAAATGATGATTTAAAAACATTTTTAAAATTATTCTATTTTTAAAATTTTTAATTAAAAACGATGATTTTTATTCTTTAGGTTCCCGCTGCTTATTTTTCACTATGGAAACATAAGTGACTTCAGGAACACATGCCTTTAGGTAGGGAGTACCAAGTCCGGAACTCATCATATTGTACACAGTTGGTGTTTAATGAATAAATCTCGACTTACAAAGATCGATGACCCACGTCAGGACAAAGCATTTCCAAGAGACAACATAGGATTGTGGGTGATTCATTGAGCATGAAAGAGGCTAAAGGCACCGGCATCTTCCACTCCAGTGCTCTTTCCCGCCCATCGAACCATCCACTTCCTGGAGGGGAAACACGTGCCCAGGTCTTCCCAGCATCCCAGCTCTAGCTCTTCGTCCCACCTCCCACCCCGCGCCAGCTGGGCTCGGGTCTTCCCGTCAGTCACTTCCTGCCCTCTGGACCCCCCAGAGAGCAAGGTGTCTCTGGATCCTCCCAGAAAGTGTGTCTTGGGAAATTGGTTTTATTATAGAAGGCTCGGGCAGGCCACCTATTTGTTTGTTTTGTTTTAAACATATTACTTTTTCTTTATT